CACACAAGGAAGAGAATCACCCTGGAGGGTTCAGGGACCCAGAGTCACGGGTGCTCTGACTGCTTTCAGAGCAGCGGGCTTGAAAGCCCTTTTGATTGATCTCTTTGTAATTTAATTAGTGTGCTTTAATTGATGCTCTTGAGACTGTCATTGAAGTTTGATGTAACATAGTTATGACGAAGTATTTTTCAGGTAGAGATTAATATTTTGTATGAATACACTATTTGCATACCTTTGAACCCCCTAGAGTATACTTATTGTTTTGGTTTAAATAAAAGGTCCCTATCCATAGGGATAATTAAAGTGGTACACTATTTCTGTATGCTATGAGCTGTTATTGGAAATCTCTAAAAGTGAATTTAACAGAGTAAATACTAATTAGTTTACCAGGGATTGAATTCAGGGGCATTCTCTTGACCTCTGAACCGCATCCCCAGCCCTATTTTGTATTTTATTTAGAGACAGGGTCTCAACAAGTTGCTTACTGCCTTGCCATTGCTGAGGCTGGCTTTGAACTCAAGATCCTCCTGTCTCAGCCTCCTGAGGAGCTAGGATTACAGGCATGTACCACCACGCCCAGCAATACTAATTAGTTTTAAAAGACAATGGGAAAAGGAAATTTAATTGCCACTACAAGGTATCGATCAGCTTTTTGTTGCTGTAGGAAAACAAAACAAAATAAAAACCCTTAAAGGAATGAAGCTTTACTCTGGCTCATGGTTTCAGAGGTGTCAGTCCATAGTAACTTGACCTAGAGAGAGAGAATATGAAGGGTTCAGGAACCAAATATAGCCTTCTAGGGAATTTCCCCAAGGACATACTTCCTCCAGCTAGACCCCACCTCCAAAATTATGAATCCACCCATTGATTAATCCAAGGATGATGTCAGATCCCCCTTTATGCAATCACCTTCCAAAGGCCCCAGCTCTGAACACGACTGTGGGTCAAACCTTCAGTGCACGAGCTTTGGGGACATTTCATATCCAACCCACAACATACACTATCAAAACATTATAATTTTTACTTGCTTACACCATAGATTAATTTAGAGTTGGCCTTTTACAACCATGGTTTATTGATTTATAACTTAAAATATTTATTGCTTTATTTAAGTCAAGACCCAGTCAAGTGTGTTTTTCAGCGTTGTTTGCTATTTTAATATTTCTAAATTTTGTGCATGTAAAATTTTTCCCTTGATTGTAAACACACACAGATTTAATTTCATAATGTTTAAAATATAAAAGAAGGAAAAATATTGTGTGCACTTGCTTTGTATATATCCCAAAGAGTCCTAAATTGTTTACCACAAATGAAGAATTGCCTGAGTATGAGATGGGATTCCAACATGAAACCACAAAACCACCATCAGCCACTGAGTCTGAGCTGTGAGGATCCGTGGAGTCAGCTCCTGGCAACAGATTAGGATGGGAGAGGGCATAGAACCAATTGGAAAAATGTAGTCATTTTTTATTTGATATGAGTCACTTGACTCAAATCAAAAGTTCTGTGGCATTTGTTCCCATCCAGTCATTTAACATGTACCTAATGAGCTTCTCTGATATCTCCCAGCACTGTTCAGGTGCTTGGCAGGCAGTGATGGCAACCTCGCTGAGCCCTGAGGACCACGGAGCTCACACTGTGGGCAGGGGCCAGACAATAGCATCCAGTAAACACAGGATTGAGATGATTCCTAGCTCTCAACTGGACTGGATAGAAAGACACTGAGAACACTGGTAAAGCACACTTCTGGGTGTGTCTGTGGGAGTGTTTCCAAAGACAGTAGGCATGTGTGTGGGCAAAATGAGGGGGAAGACCCGTCCTGAATCTGGGCTGCAGTGGTCATTAGACTCAGGGTCCAGATGGAACAGAATCGAAGGGGAGCTGTCTGTGGGTGCAACCTCAATTCTCCCTGAGGGGCTGCACTTTTTGCTGCTGCCATTACCTGTGGGCCCTGCACTTCAGCTATTCCAGTCTCTAAAAGTGGGTTCACACCAGCGGCTCTCCCAGCAGCTTCCAGGCCTGCAGCCGTAAACTGGGCTGCTTGTTGGTCAATCTCCAGCAGTGGGTGGAGATAGAAGTCGGGGAGGGACAGTGGGAACAGCCTTTATTAGGGTGTCATCCTGGAGGCCGTCTCCTGGGGGCTGCAGATTGGCTAGTTTAAATAAAACATGAGAAGGGGCACGGACATATTAGATGACCCTGGTGTTAAACATGCTGGGCTTGGGATCCGTGGGATGAAGAGCAGGTGGGCTTTAATCACAAACAGCCACACAGAGAGGGGAAGTTAACTAGACCGTAGGTGACAGGAGATGACTGCATTTCCAGTAACTAACATCAGGTCTAAAAATGGCTTAAACAAATTTATGTCCCCATGTGTCAGGAACAGTAAGGAATTTAATGAATTTATTTAAGAATTCATGTAAAGAGAGCATAATACAATGATGAAAAGTGTCATCTGGGAAAATGTATCACAAGTAGGAGTGACACTCAGGAGACTGTCACGTGCAAGCTCTGGCACTAGTGCAAACAACAAGAAAGAAATGACCTGATGGTGCAAGGTCACAGCATGACAGTTGCTGAAATATTAAAGAATTTAAATTTCATATAAGGTCTATGGAAATACCAGGTTTCTAAGCCGGACATCATTTTTGTCAGCCCAGAGATAAATCGGATGCTTTATGTAAAAAGCAAGTCTAGTTTGGAGTAAGAATAACTGGGGCATGAAGAAGCAGGGTTCTAACTTTGGGTAATGTCTTTAGACAGTGAAAATAAGAAACGACTGTGTGCAAAGAAAAACAACAAGAGTCAGGGAGAGAGCAGTATGGAGATGACTGAGATGAAGAGAGTCAGAGCTTAAAAGCAACTTTTGGTTGCCTTCTATAGGAGTAGGACCGCAGGACAGTTATGGAAAAAGTAGAAAAACATAAGATTTTTGAGTTGTAAGAGAAAAATTGAGGTTTCATTTGGCCATTTTGTGAACAAACAGACCATAGACCTGTGGTGGAGACACCCTGAAAGAGGAACAAGGCTTCGGGATAAAGGAACAGGGCTTATGTGGTGGGGATGAGGGAGACACTGAAGGTAGAACTGGGTGGAAAGAACAGACAGGGGACAGTGTTCAGAGACAAGCCAGGAAGGCGGGAAGACTTGGAAATAAAAGTCATTCACAAGTATTCATTGTAGACTGATTATGTGCCACGTTTAGGTTGCAGATCCAGAAATTTAAAGTAGGCCAACAGAATGTGAAGTCTATAGGGAAACGACAAGAGGGAATTCTGATCATATCCAAGGTGGAAGGGATTTCAGGAACCACGTTTAGTTCAAGGGAGGGAGAAAATGGACGGGAGAAGGAAGCAGTGCTTCTGAAGTTTTCAGTTATCACAGATAAGTGGAGACTCTGAAATATGATTTCAGGAGTAAGAAGAGTGGGGAAGTGCTTAGGAGAAAAATAAAGCAAGGGGAGAAAGGGGTTGCTTGAAGTGAAGAGTGCCCTTTAAAATTGATGATCCCAGAAGGCCCTACTGAGAAGATGACATGATGACAGCTCAATTTTTAAAGACATTGAGACCAATGTGTAGCATGTATCTCCTACTAACTGTGCTTTCATTTCTAGCCTTTATACATGAAAACTAATAATAAAAACAAGGACTAAGGAAGTTATGAAGACAAAAGAACTTAAATGTTCTCTGGTCCAGTCCTGGAAATCTTGGGCAAAAGGTCCAACAATGAGACACCCCAGTGATCAACCAACTTCCTCATCCAGGGCCAACTGGACTTCATATAGGCTACAGATGCTGTGGCCACCTGCCAGACACAGGAAGTGCCATCAGAATCCAGTGTTTAGCTTTAAATGTAAAATGACCTGGGATGTAAGAAAGGCAGCTGGAGGGGAGAGCAGGATGAAAAGTTATCACTGGAGTGTAAAAATCCACAGTCTCTTGACAAACAGGAGGTGAGAAAGAAGGACCCCAACCTGACCCACAAAGATGAACTGGCACTCAGTCCCAGGGGACTTGCCCACCACAAGAGAACAAATGGAAGTGGGGACAACTAAAGGTATATTTCTTCAAATGAGAGACCATAAGTGACCCTTGGGAAGACTGTACACCCATAGTACTTAGTCACTGAGGAACTGGGGGAGGAGGGAGACAACCCTTGTGCTCTAGGGGATAAAATGCTGGTTGTACCCAATCTGGGTGTCCCTGACCACCAGGTACCTGATCTTGCAAGATTGTTATTAAAGTAAATCCTCCCTTTTTGCTATACTTTGTGTCTCTTAGGCCATTCTCTGAGTTTGGACAGGAGAGTGCATTTCTCACAGAGGTTAATACAAAACAGATGCTGAGGGTGGGGTGTGCAGCTCACTGCTAGAGCACTTGCCCGGTGTGCAGGAGGCCCGGTTTCATCCCCAGTACCACAAAAAGCAGAAGTCTGATGCTCAACCATCAAACTCCATTGCCATCCATCACCACCCTTCACCTCAGTGGATCATCTCACCTGAGTGTATGGTAACTAGTCTTAGCAACCTTTTGAATAGAACACATGGACTCCTGAAATATGTTTCTAAAATAGATTTATCGTGCCCACTGTTTGAAAGCAGAGTTTTTCTAAAGTGACCAAAATGTTTCATATTTCAAGAGCTGTGGATGACAGATGAATAAGGAGTCAAAATCTCCCAAACTGTGGATAGGAGACATACGGTGATGGAGGAGACGCTAATGGCATAATCTAGCGGGTGGGTAACAGAGTCTTCACTGTGACATTTTTTCATAATGGAAATTTTTAATTGAGCCGTTCACGTAAGACGTCGTGTCTGAGTCACACCATATGTTAATGCGCCCCGCCAACAAAAAAAAGCACCTGCATTTAGGAGGGGTGGGTTAAAAACGGAACAGGACAATTTACTTGGCAATAGACACGATGGTCCTGCATAGGAAATCCCTCTTCACTTGCTCGGTAACGAGTTTTCCTGAATAAAACTAAAACGGATTCACACAGCTATGCACGCGGGGCCGTCCTACCAGGAAGAGCTCAGCCTGAAAACACGCTGGCTGCGGCACTCGGAGGAAAGAGACCGCAGCAGCTCGCCCGAATCCCGCGTGCGGGTCAGGCTCGGGCACGGCCCCGCCCTCCGCCCCGCCCCAGGCACGGCCCCGCCCTCCGCCCCGCCCCAGGCACGGCCCCGCCCTCCGCCCCGCCCCAGGCACGGCCCCGCCCTCCGCCCCGCCCCAGGCACGGCCCCCGCCCTGCCCAGCCCCGCCCTACTCGGGCATGGCCCCGCCCCCGCTCCCCGCCCCCCGCCCCCGCCCGGCTCAGGCAAGGCCCCGCTCAGTGCGCCCTCCACTACGCGACCTCATCCCAGTGAGCCGCGCTCCGCCTCGCTCCGCCCCTATTAGGCTCCGCCCCGTGTCTCGCCCCGCCCCTCTCGGACACTGTCCCCGTCTCTCAGGCACTGGCCCGCCTCTCGCCCCGCCCCCTCCACCCCGTGCGCCCTCCCCTACGCTACTTCAGTCCCGAGGGCCGCGTTCCGTCTCGCTCGGTCCCTGTCAGGCTCCGCCCCGTGCCCCGCCCCGTGCGTCCTTCCCCGCGGGTTCAGCCCGGAGTGCGGCGCTCTCCGGGTCCCTTCTACCCCGGTGCGCTGTGGCCCCGCATCGGGCTGGAGCGGACCCCGGGCTCTCGGACGCAGGTCCTGATGGCCGCGCCCGTTACTCAGCAGGTCAGCGGCGGCGCCGCCCCGTCCCCGAGCCCGGCGCTGGCCGGCCCTGAGAGCGGGCAGCCCCTGGCGCCCTCCGTGGCCGAGCTGCCCGTGCTGGACGCCACGGGGAAGAGGCTGCCCTTCGGCGCACTGTTCCGGGAGCGACGCGCCGTGGTGGTCTTCGTGCGGGTGAGCGCGGCGACCAAGAGGGGGTGGCTTCCGCAGGACCTGGCGCCTGCGAACGGGCCGGCCGGGCCTGGCCTTCCGGTGTCCGCCGCTCCGCAGCGAGGCCACTTCCCAGCCAGCGGCGGCGCAGCCAGGACATCCTGCCCCCCTGGAGCGCGGCATTTCCTACGGGCCCTCCAGGCCGCGGCGCCGCCTTGCTAACTCGCCCTGTTGCTGTGTTGGGTTTCAGCATTTCCTGTGTTACATCTGCAAAGAATACGTGGAGGACCTGGCTAAAGTCCCCGAGCGACTCCTACAAGTAAGTTTTCCGACAGTGGGTGGCAGAGTGTCCTGCCTCAGGACGGAGTGAGTGGCGCCTGTCGTTTATAACCGCCGGAGTGAAGTGTGGAGGGTGCATGACCTGCATCCCCAAATCTTGCATTTCCTCCCATTTCTCCAACCCCTCAAAAAGGGAGGAAAGAAGTTAGAGACGTTTTGTCCTGATTTATTGCAACTTGCTTGTAAACAGTGCTACCTAGTAATTACCTAGTAATGTGCCTAGTAAATGTTGAGTGATAATGCTCCAAATCAAGTGCTGGAAATTGGTTGTTTGTTTGTCTTTTGTTTTTGGTACTGAGGATTGAACCCAGGGGTGCTTAACCATTGAGCCTCATCCTCAGCCTTTTTTTTTTTTTTTGTATTTTATTTAGAGGCAAGGTTTCGCTGAGTTGTTAAGTGCCTCGCTAAGTTGCTGAGGCTGGCTTTGAACTCATGATCCTCCTGCCTCTGCCTCCTAAACCACTGGGATTACAGGCGTGTGCCACTGTGCCCAGCTGGAAATTGATATTGTTGTCCCTTTATTTGTGTTATGCCGCCAAATAGTTGTTACTTGTAGGAAAATTGTAATGTATCTTTTTTTTTTAAGAGAGAGAGGGAGAGAGAATTTTTTAATATTTATTTTTTTAGTTTTTGGTGGACACAACATCTTTATTTTATTTTTATGTGGTGCTGAGGGTCAAACCCAGCGCCCTGCGCATGCCAGGCGAGCCACATGTCCAGCCCCTGTAATGTATCTTACAGATGCCAATTTGTATTTGTTAATAGACTGCAAGTTTCACTACTCTGTTTTTCTTCAGGTATTACATAGGTTTGGTCCCAGGTAAGCTTTTTAAGTGAAGATATTAGATAGGCTTTGTAAAACTAAGGTCTGTTTTCAGTAGACCTTATCTATTGGAATGAAAAAATAAATAAAATTGCTCATTAAATAAGCCTGCTTGTGTGTTGTGGTTTTTAATTTTTTAATTATCTTTGTTTTTGCAGTACTTGGGATTAATCTACATCCCCATTGTATCTAGTGGCTTGGGAGGCAGGAGGATCACAAGTTCATAGCCAGCCTCTGCAATTTAGTGAGGCCCTGAGCAACTCAGCAAATTTTGAGACTAGTATTCTTAAGTTTTCCAGGCTGTCCTCAAAATTACAGTCCTCCTGCTTCCTCTACCTGAGTAGCTGGGATTATAGGCATGTGTCACCCATGCCTGAGGAATACATCATTTTGAAAATTTTTTTTTTAATTTTTCCTCTGCATGCCCTTTTATTCTCTCTCTCTCTCTTTCTCTCTCTCTCTCTCTCTCTCTCTCTCTCTCTCTCTCTGTGTGTGTGTGTGTGTGTGTGTGTGTGTGTTTCCCAAGAGCTGGGGATCCAACCCAGGCCTCACCCATTCTAGTCAGTACTCTGCCACTGAGCCACATCCCCAACTCACCTTTGTCCTTTTTTTAATTGGATACTTTGTTTTCTTGCTATTTAATTGTTTGAGCTTCTTATATTCTTTGGATTTGGGTTCCCTATTAGATACAGAGTTTATTGTTTCTCCCAAACCCTGGGCTTTCTCTTCACTCTAATTATTTCCTTTGCTGTGCAGAAGCTTTATAATACAACCTGCCTATGTTTGCTTTTGTTGCTTGTGTTTTGGGGTCATATCCAAGAAATCATTGCCCAATCTAATGTCATTGAGCTTTTCCCTGTTTTCTTCTAATACTTTTACAACTTTAGTCTTCCATTTAAGTCTTGGAATTTTTACTTAGCAAATGAATCATCTAAGTTGATCAGACATTTTAGAACAAGTTTCTTTATGTTGCACACAATCTTGCTGTTCCATTCTGCTAGAAGCCTATAGGTGGCATTAGAATGAAACAAAAGTGGGATTAGGGGAAGACTAGGAAACAATTCTGTTAACATGCACATTTTTTTTCTCCTAAAGGAAGCAAATGTCACCCTTATAGTGATTGGACAGTCATCCTACCATCATATTGAGGTAAATATCTACCAAATTGGGAAACTCAGAGATTAAATTTGTTTCAGGTTTAAGTGCTATACATCTGTACTTAGTGGCTTAGGAGGCAGGAGGATCATAAGTTCAAAGCCAGCCTCTGCAATTTAGTGAGGCCCTGAGCAACTCAGCAAAACCCTGTCTCTAAATAAAATATTTAAAAGGGCTAAGGCTATGACTCAGTGGTTAAGCACTCCTGGGTTTAGTCCCCAGTACCAAATAAAATAAAGTTTCAGTTGTAAAAATTATGTTAATAGAACAGTGAGTATAGGCTAAATTGGCTGAAGTTAGATTATCATTACTTTTTTTTCTCATTTTTTCTTATAAAAACTCCAACTATTCTCTCTTCAGCCTTTCTGCAAACTGACTGGGTATTCCCATGAAATCTATGTTGATCCTGAGAGAGAAATTTATAAAAGACTGGGAATGAAAAGAGGTGAAGAAATTGCCTCCTCAGGTAAGACAGCATGTTTCAAATAGAATAAGGCAGTGGTGTGTTTTCACATCTGTGTATATGTGCATAGGGAAGCAAATGGTAAATTCCTAAGTCAGGCTACTGCTTATGATTCTGGTAAATGATCCAGCTATCCCACACGGAAAGACTTGTTCTCTGAACGTAATGATGTTTTAGCTTTCTGTTGCTATGACAAAATTCCTGAGATAATCAACTTATCAGGAAGAATGGTCTACATTGGCTCGTGGTTTCAGAGGTTTTAGTCCGTGGTTGTTTGGCTTCATTGCTTTTGGACCTGTGCTGAGGTGGCACATCATGGCAGAGAGCATGCACTGGAGGAAACCTCTTCATCTCATGGCAGCCAGGAAGCAAAATAGAGGAAAGGGCCAGGATCCCCATGTCCCTTCAAGGGCACCGCCCGCCCTTCCCCTTGCTAATGATGTAACTTCCTTCCATGAAGACCCACCTTCTACTTTCTACCACCTCCCAACACCACAGGCTGGCAACCAAGCCTTCAGTACATGGGTCTTTGGGGGTCCCTTACAAACCTTGGAAAATGGCATGGAAGGATATTGGCAATGTACTTTTGAAAGAAAAGGCAGTTGCAGAACAGTATTTTCAATATGACTGCATTTTTGTAAAAGCAAAAATAATTTTCACAAACATAAAGATTTGGGTATGAAAGCATGCGTGTGTATGTGTGCATGATGAAAAAGGTTATAAGAAAGATTACAGCATTTTTGCCCCAAAAATGGAAGTGAAAAAATTGACTTTTAAAAAAATATTTTTTAGTTGGAGATGGACATAATACCTTTATTTATTTTTATGTGGTGCTAAGGATTGAATCCAGTGCCTCACATGTGCTAGGCGAGCGCTCTACCCCTGAGCCCCAGCCCAGAGAAAATTGACTTTTGTAATTTTTACAAGTGTGTTTTACTTTTGTAATTAAAAGAAAAACAGCATGAAGCTTACATATTTTCATATCTCAGCACCACACCTGGGACACTCCATGTCCTTGAACTGAAGAGAACTGCGGATCCTTTGAGACCCAGCACAGAGAGGTTCTTCATAGCTCTCCAGGTGGAGGAATTGCTTTCTTGGGTGCAACAGCCCCTGTCTCCACAGCTGCTCTTACTGCGCTGAGGAGCCAGGTGGCACTGTGCAGCTAGTTGAAGATTGTCATAGCTCCACATTCCCCACCTGACCACGATTCCTGGTGATTAATGGAGCTTAGTAATTGCAGTCAAAACCAGTGTGTGTGCTTTGGGTAGGAATAACTCAGTTTCTGAAATGCAGAATAAGGCAACTCATACTCAGAATCATGCGCCACAAATACTATTTTGAGCTCTTGTCTCTGACACCCACTGTGGTGGATGCTCCCTGGAGAACAGAGATGAATGAGCCCTGCCTTCCAGAGATTTCCATACTGCATAAGGGCTTGTGGTAGAGAAGTGTGTGCTGGGGGCCTGCCTCAGCATCACGAGAGGAAAGGGATCTAGACGGCTTCTCCCGGAGGGATGTCTCAGTGTCCCCTGAAGGAGCTGGCTGGTGGAGGGAGGGCGAGCAGGGTGCTCAGGACACAGATACATGTGCAGGTACACAGAGGCAGGACTGGAGAAGTGCAGGTCCCTGCCTCTGGCCGGACTCTCAGAGCCAGCTGGGGAATTGGTGTGAGCCAAGAGGTGGGTCGGGCTGATGCACAGTGATATGGAGTGACATTCCAAGGATTGTGGATCTGTTCTGAAAGAACTGGGGGAGTCGATCAAGTGTCGAAACAGCAAAGTGAGACAGACACATCCCAGTGTGGGGGAGGAACTGGAACCAGCCCAACCAGATCCAGTGATGTCAGTGAGAAGGTTCTCTTAATTAACTAGAGAGAAATGGGAGGCCTCCAGAGGAGATGGAGAGGTATGATGGACTTGAGAGCCATTCATGAGGTAGAATTGCCCTGATCCCTTTGCTGATATTTTACTTTTATTTTTTCTTAATTTTATTTATGTATTTATTTGTTTGTTTATTTATTTATTTATTTAGTACTGGGGATTGAACCCAGAGGCCCTAAACCACTGAGCCACATCCCCACACCTTATTTATATTTTATTACAGACAGGGTCTCACTGAGTTGCTTAGGACCTCACTAAGTTGCTGAGGCTCACAATCCTCCTGTCTTAAGCCTCCCGAGCCGTTATTTTGTATTTTTATTTCTACTTGTGGTACTGGGGACTAGCCCAGGGGCACTCTATCACTGAGCTATGTCCCTAGCCCTTTTCTGTATTTTATTTTGAGACGGGGTCTCCTTAAGCCCAGGCTGGCCTTGAATTTTTGATCCTTCTGCCTCAGCCTCCCCAGTAGCTGGAATTACAGGTGTGCACCACTATACCCAGCTCACCAGTGATTTTAAAGAAAGCAACCTAAGCTGGGCGTGGCGGTGCACACCTGTGGTCCCAGTCGCTGAGGAAGCTGAGGCAGGAGGGTCAAAGTTTAAGACTAGTCTCAGCAACTTGAGGAGATCCTATCTCAAAATAAAAAATTTAAAAGGTCTGGGGATAGAGAACCCTGGGTTCAATCCCCAGTGCTGCAAAAAGAAGAAGAGGACAGAAGAAAGAAGGGAAGAAACACAGACTTTATTAAAACTGATGATGAGCTAGTTTAAGCTTGAGCGCTTGATCTGACCTTCCCCCTGCCTCTGCCTCCCTCCCTCTGTCCTGCCCCCACCCCCAGCCCTGCAGTGGAGGAGATGGCAGTAGATCTGCCAGAAAGGGCAGACTGTGGCCCTTTCCTCCTGGCACACTATTTTCAGGTGCTGTGACAGAGTCTCAGCATGTGTAAGGTCTGCTTATCATTTAGCACTTTAGATATAAACTGTGAGTTTCACTTTAGTAGCACCTCATCCATTGCCACAATAAAGGTATGGAGTTGCAAAGAAAATAGGTGAATTCTAAACCAAATGCATGCTTCTAATTATGAGAAGGTGTGTTCAAATCTTTTAATGTGCTTTAACTTAAATATACTTTATATAATATGTATAGGTATAAAGCTTACACTGTAAATATTATATAAACCATTATATTATAGATTTTATGAAATTATATTGTATAATATGCATTTGGGGGGTACTAGGGATCAAATCTAAGGGTGCCCTACCACTGATCTACAGCCTTTTTTCGGGGTAGCTGGGTCTTGCTAAATTAGTTGCCCACACTGGCCTTGAATTTGGCCATTCTCCTGCCTCAGCCTGGGGAGCTACTGGGATTGCAGGGGTGCACCACTGTGCCTGGCACATGTTTTGCTTTATAGTGTTAAAGTACTGTCTTGACAAGCAGAAAATATTAGATTTTCACAAAATACTTTTTTAAAAGCTTGAACCTGTATAAAGTATAAAGCATAAATATCAGAATTGTCCTCACAGTAGTCTTATTTAAAAATTAAGGCACTTAAAATACATTATACAGTTATAATTTAGAGTTAACAGTACCCACTTTATAAAGACAAAGAATAAGAAAATAAGACCATTAAATTGTTTTAAATTGTTTTAAAGTCAAAAAACAAGAGTTTTACACATAAGAACTAAATTCAAACTAGCAAAATTAGATCATGCCTAATGGGAACGATTGTTCAGCTCTAGGCTTTGGCATCTCCTTTAATTGAATTTCTATCGACATAATATCTGGATTTCTGAACATTTATTTTAGATATAGAATCCTGTAAAACAAATTTGATGTTTTACTCATGTCTCTGAGTCAGCTCGCCTGTTCTTGTTTCGTGGTAAGATGAATGTCACAGTCACAATGTAAACATGGAAGAAATCAAAGAGCTGGAAGAAGCAGGGAAATAATATGAATCTGGAACTATCAGGAAGCCAGTGGGTCAAGAGCTGCATCATCAATGTGATATTATTCTGCATATATTTTGGTTTTCATCCACAGTTCCTGGCTCATAGCTGCCTTAAGGCAGGTCATAGGAACCAAAAATATACTCTAACCTCCCCGCCCAGTGCTGTGTTGGAGCTGGCCATAAAGAAGTTCTCTTTTCTGCCTGACCTGATAGTAGATCATGAGACCCCATTTGGAAAGGGGTCCTGCCCGGAAGGAAGGCTGCACAGAGTCCGGGAAGAATCTGGACAGGCCGTGCTGGCTTCCCCCACCGCCTGTCAGCACCAGATCCAGCCCTCTACAGAGTTGCCCGCTTCAGGTGTGTCCATGCAGTGAAGTCTCCATAAAAACTCGGGAGCTTCACGTGGCCACACACGTGCAGGTTTCTAGAGGGTAGGGTGTGCAGAGGCCCAGGAGGCTCTGTGCACCCTCCCCTGTACCCGCCCTGGCCATCTCTTCATCTGTGTCCCCTGTGGCATCTTTTATGATAAACTGGCAAGAGTCAGGACGCATCCCGACTCTTGTGTGAGCCACGCAAGCTCCTGAAGGAACCTGAGGAGGCCCGGGGAACCTTGGTTTGTAGCCAGGCAGTCACAGCTCAGGACAAACGTCGGGGACTGACTGGCATCTGAATTGGCGCCTGTCTCGGGACCTGCACCCTCGGCCTGGGGGACCTGATGCTGTCTCCTTCGGACAGTGACAGGGTTGCATTGCATTGGAGGACACCCCCGTCATTGGTGCAGGATGGCTCCCCTGGCGTGTGGGAGAAGCTCCGCCAGTGGGCAGCAGAAGTGGTCTGAGCTGTGAGAGGCCAGAGCAGAGCTGAGGTCAAGTCTGAGTTCGTTTTTCCTACTCAGTTGTCAGTGAAAAGCTAAAGGCGAGACGTAAAAGAGACACCAGGAAAATCAGTTGTGGGAGTAGTACAGGGGCTCCGTGGGGAGAGGGACGTCAGTGGGAGCAGAAGCAGACCCCCGACGGGGGAGGAAGAGCGGAGGGCAGCTGCCTCTGCCTCTCTGGGCCTCTCTAGGCCTGACGCTGCAGGCTGTCCCCTGTTTGAACTCTGAGGCGGGGCATTCCCATCCAGGCCCTGGGGCCAGCCCTTCCCAGGTCCTGCTCTGTCCTTGCCCCCAAGCCTCACCCCAGGGAGAGGACGTGGAAGCCGCCTCTGGCCTTCTCTGGAGCCCGGGCCCCTGGCGAGCTTCTCACTCACTGGTTAGAACAGAGTCCCACGCCGCACGCACCCAGCTGTGAGGACGCTGGACAGTGTAGGTCAGCTACAGCCCAGTGAGAGGAAACGGCTCTTTGACCGACATTTAACCACCGGGCCACAGCGTGCCCAGAACAGGGCCGGAGCAGCCACTAGTGGGTGAGACTGAAGAGCAGAGTGGGAGTCGGTGGCAGCGCTGCCGCTGAGAACTCCTCCCTGTTGCCTGCTGGGGTCAGACACTGCTCCGGGCTCTCCCCTGAGCGCAGTCCAGCCTGAGGCTGACAGGCTTCTGTGGCAGAAAGGGACCTGGGTCTGTCTGTCATCACTTCTTTGAGAGCAGATGTTCTCACCAAGGACATTATCCCCTTGCTAAGGGGGCATTTGGCATTTTCTGGAGACACAGTTGGTTGTTGCAGCTTGGCAAACAGTGCCGAGAGCGCGTGCCGGGTGTCAAAAGCTGCTGAGCACCCAGCCCCACGCGGACAAAGGATCATCTGGGCCAGAATGTCAATACTGAAACCGTTCTTTGAAGAAAAGGAAAAAGGACAAATGAAATACGAAGTGAGATGTGACATAAGAAAGCGAATGTCTTGTAGAAATGCCAGCATCGTCTCCTTAACATTTAATGGCGTGTGTAATGACCGCATCTAAAGACACTCTTAACGTTCCAGGACAGAGCCCCCACGTCAAGTCAAATCTGCTCTCAGGAAGCCTTCGGAGCCTGTGGCGGGCAGTGACTGGCCCTCTTTTTGACTTCCAAGGAGACCCAGCCCAGCAAGGCGGGACCCTCATTGTAGGTCCAGGTGAGCATGAAAGCCCAGATCCAGCCGTGTGCACTTCCTGTGCCTCTTACATGTCCCAAGGCCACCTGTTTTCTCTGTAAAGCAGACAGCATATAAAAGCGGGCACCTGGACCTCACTCAGGATGCCGTACTCTCACGGGGCATCTTTTGTTTTCAGAGGCTTCTGTTCTTTGGCATCTGTGTGTTTGATGAGTGTGCCTGTCATTCCACGCCCCAGGGACTGCAGGGCTCGGGACAGGGGAAGCCAGCTGTGAGATGCTGATTTGTTTATGGCTATTTCACGCTTTAAAAAGCTCAGCAGAGGCCAGGAGTGTAGCTCAATGAGAGCATGTGCTTAGCGTGTGTTCAGCACCCACCGCAAAAGAAAAGAAATAGCTCATTGGAGGTGAATGTTTCTGAACAGGAGGAAATCCTTAACACTTTCTGTCAGTGAAAAACTCTGTCTAGTCATTTATAGCTAACGAAACTGCAGGACTTGCAGTGTTCGAAAGCAATTCTGTGCAGGGCAGCTCATTCAGTAAGAGCTACCATAAGCCGGGCACGGTGGCACCTGGTGTGCACGCCTAATAATCCCAGCGGCCTGGGAGGCTGAGCAGGAGAATCACAAGTTCAAAGCCAGCCTTAGCAACGTAGGAACGCCCTAAGCAACTTGGTGAGACCCTATCTCAAAATAAACGGGGCTGGGGATGTGGCTCAGTGGTTAATTGCCCCTGGGTTCAGTCCCCAGTACCATAAATAGATAAATAACATAGCCATCATAAGTCACAGACTTTTAATGACTTTATTTTTTTAAATACTTTTTAGTTGTCAATGGACCTTTATTTTATTTATTTATATGCGGTGCTGAGTTTTGAGTCCAAGAATCAAAATGAACAGAACCTAGACTATAACTTGCAGCTTACTTGAGCAGATAATTAACACAAGGTCTTTTTTTTTTTTTTTTTTTTTCCGGTACCAGGGATTGAATCCAGGAGCACTTTACCACTGAGCCACATCCTTAGCCCCTTTATTTTTTATTCTGAGACAGGGTCTTGTTAAGTTGCTAAGGACCTCCTTAAGTTGCTGAGCTGGCTTTGAACTTAAGATCCTCCTGCCTTAGCCTCCCGAGTTGATGGGATGTCAGGCGTGTACCAGTGCACCCAGCTTGTAACAGATGGCCTTAATGCCTTATTTTTAAACCTGTTTTGGGCTTTGTTTATAAAACAGATAGCCTACTAATCATTATTTGGGCATGGATTTTTAGAAGTGAATTGTTTCATTATTACATATATTTAAGAAACAGATGTGATTTTCCAGCTTGGTATCTATGTTCAGTATTCTGCCTGTGTGACAGGACATTTTATTTAATTATATTCAATAAAACCTAATAGGTTATAATTAAAGAATCTTTCTCCTTGGATCTCATAAAACCACTCTTATTTAACCATAATTCTTGTCCTGCTTTATTGCTATAATTAAAAAGTATTATGGCATTGTACAGAGAATATAATGTACTCTAGGTGATTAATTTTCCCCTTTGGACTAATTAAAAGTTGAAGCCCTTTCTTGATTCTAGTAAGAAATAAAATAAATAATAGTTAACATGCAAACCTCAGCTTTTGTTCTTATTTTCTTCTAGGTAACAACATCCATTTTATGCACCGTGATAGGAATAGGTTGGATCATAAACCCATAAACTCTGTCTTACAGCTTGTAGGAGTTCCGCATGTGAACTTCACAAGCAGACCTTCCATCATCCACGTGTGACTTGCCAGTGGTCCTTGGGAACCTGACCTTCAGTGCCAGCATGCAGCACCTTGTGCTTTCTGGGGCTGGCCCCTCCCAGCCTCTGAGGGAGGATGAGAGCAGATTCCTTCCATTTGGATCCAGGTTGAGGCTTCAGTTGTCAAAAATGTGATACATAGTTTAAATTTTGTAGCTTTTTATAGCTTTTTAAAAAATAACGGAGTCAGTCTACTTTGGGCTGTGGAGAGCAGCTCAGCAGCAGAGCACTTGCTTCCCAGGAACAAGGCCCAGGGTTTACCCAGCACTTCAAAAATAAAAATAAAAATACATGCATACATACTTGTAAGTATACAGGAGAAAACTTTAAAAGTTATAGAACTCTCATGCACAAGGCCCTGGGTTCAATTCCCGGCACCACACACACCGCCCCCCCCCCCAAAAAAAAAAATCATAAAATTAGGAACACATTTGCTAAAATTAAATAACGTGGTCAGTTGTTCAATAAAAGATGGTTTCAGCAATTAAAACATATAAAGGAAATGGAAAATAACTCCACCATTTTATTCAATAAAAAAAGCAGGATATCAAATTCTGTAAGCAATATAACCACTTTTTTTATATGTATATGTTTATATTTTGGTATGCTTAGGGAAAAAAACAGAGGAGAATTGCCAGTATTGTAAGATCACAGTTATTTTTGTCTTTTTCAAGCTTCTCTTTATTTTCCAGCCGTTCTCTAAAGAGCATGATTGACCTTTTCCTTTTCTTTTTTCCTTTCTTTTTTCTTTCCTTTCTTTTTTTTTTCTTCTTATTTTTTTGACAAAGATCTTTAAACACTGGAGGACAGATACCTCCTCAGAGGTGCAGATTACGAGGCTGAGGCCCGCTGGCTTCCATCCTGTTAGTGCTCTGCCCGGGCACAGACCACGCCCCTGACACCCAGCCACATCAGCCGCCTGTTGCACTAGGGTTTTTTGGTGGGAAAAAAGAAGTGAAGGAGAAAAATGTTTTAGGGTCTTTGGATTTTTTGTTTGTTCGTTTTTAACATGGAGCTGGGGATCAAGCCCAGGGCCTCACACATGAGAGGCAAGTGCTCTGCCACTGAGCTATATACCCGCAGCCCATTTAAGATATTTAATTCATGTATTTAAAATGTGGTCAGGGCTGGTGACATAGCTCTGTGGTAGGCACTGGCCTTGCAGGCATGAGGCTCTGGGTTCAATCCCTGGGACTACACTAAAATACATATATAGAGAGATATATATACACACACATATATTATATGTGTTATATACATGTGTTTATATATATATATGTAAAAGTATGCTTTTTGAAATTTTAAGAATGTGTGAATTTTTAAAACTTTATAACAAATGTACACCATGGTTTGGTTGTACATTCCTAGACAACTACTATTTCTTACCCCCTATTGCTCTTATTTAGAGAACTATGTCATCTTTTATTTTTCTAGAATCTTAATATTTTGGGGGGGAAGCAACCGAGAAATACTGATGAAAAATAGTTACATAAAAATAATGGTAATTAGCAAGTATAAAACCACTTTGAACTTATAATACTTTTATATAACATGAAATTACAAAAAAATCTATATTTAATGAACCCAAATATTTGTATTTTCACATCTGTATACTTGAGCGGTCATGTTTTAATCAGTTAAAATGAAGTTTCTCATAAAATTTGAAAATAGACTTTTTCGTGCTATTTTTAATACTAAAGAGTGGTAATTCAGAGCCCTTTGACAATATCAAACTTAAAAATGCTGGATCATAAGCTTACAAGAAAATCTACGTAGTCATACATGTACACCACATCTTTCTAAGGTAAATAAGTATCCTTTATGTGGCTTCAGGCAGGTAGTTACATTAATAGAGTTCAGGGGTAAATTGCCCACCCAAACAAATGTGTTTTATGTAAAATCACCACTGGGTGTGGTGCCATGTTCACATATACTTGGGAGTTTGAGGCATGAGGACCACTTGAGCCCAGGAGGTGGAGACCAGCCTAAGCAACAGAGCAACTCCCCACCTCTTAAAAATGTGTGTGTGTGTGTGTGTGTGCACACGCGCGAATGCACGCACACAGGTTTATGTTAACAAAACTACATATAACACATGCTGTGAACTATATAAGCATCGTCCACATCTAGTCATAATACTGGACTCAAAATTCTGAACAACCTCCCTGTGATATGTGCATAGATATACTGGATAAGAGGATAATACCATAACATTTTGTGGTGTTGATTCTTTGCCAGGTCAAATCCAGGTGTTTTGTGTACACTGGGTAGCATTGGTATGATTTTATTATCATCAGTATTCCCATTTTACAAAGAAACATCCTTTTTTAAGTTGAGCTTACAATAAAGTGAAGAAGCTTCCACCGAGGCCAAAAGCATTCTCAGAAATGAGACTGATGACCACGTTTGACACCGTGGACTGCCCTGAGGAGCTGGGATTCGTCCAAGAAACCGAGCAGGCTGTTTCTTGGCCTTCTCCAATGCCTGGCACAGCAGAGTTAAAACTATGACTCCTGATTCAAGGACAGCCTACAACTGTGCCTGAGACCTGAGACAAGGGCTGCAGCCTTGTAAGAATACCATCAAATCCATCCCTAGGCCGAGGAACCCAGTGAGGAAATTTGTTGTAAAGAATCTATGATGAACTTCTAGGGAAACAAGACTCAGTGAAATGAGAGTGTAAGTTTAATTTTTAAAAATCGTGATGCCTGTAATTCCAGCTAACTTTGGAGGCTGAAGCTGAGAGTCAGTAAGCCCACAAATTTGAAAGCAGCCCTGGGCAACAACCATTCAGACCCCCATCTCAGAAAGCAAAACAAAACAAAAGAATTGGTCTGGGGTGTAGCTCAGTGACAGAGCAGATGCAGGTCTGAGGCCCTAGTTCTGTCCCCAGAGCTGAAAAAACAGTGTTCCAGAAGATAATTTAAGACACAGCTGCGAACAGTACTCATCATGCTCTAAAGGATGACTTTCATTTAAAGTGTTAAGATAATTTCATTCACTTTTCAACTTCCACTTCCTCATGCACGTATTTAAAATGAAGTAGTGCTGTTCATGTGGTGGCCCTGTTAGCAGAAACACTGGGAACAGTTCAGGGATGCCAGGCTTAGATTGTATTATCAGATGCTTTAAATAGATAAAAAGATAAATTAATTCCTTTTTTTTTTAAAGAGAAAGAGAATTTTTTTCATATTTATTTTTAGTTTTCGGCAGACACAACATCTTTGTTTGTATGTGGTGCTGAGGATCGAACCCGGGCCACACGCATGCCAGGCGAGCGCGCTACCGCTTGAGCCATATCCCCATCCCGGATAAATTAATTCCTAACAGAGGACCTAACAGTGGCGTGTTTTTCCATCTAGTTTTCAGAGTCTAAACAAAACCCTTGCAAATTCATACTTTCAAAGGCAAAATATCTGACAGAGGAATGCTGCTCTAAATTCTTAACAATTCAACATGGAAAAAAACAGGATTTGTTTTTGTGGTGATGAATACAAATTTGAATTAATGCATTTTTTAAAAAAAAATATAATGGGGCCTGGTGATGTGGCTCAAGCGGTAGCGCGCTCACCTGGCATGCGTGCAGCCCGGGTTAGATCCTTCAGCACCACATACAAACAAAGATGTTGTGTCCGCCGAAAACTAAAAATAAATACTTAAAAAAAATTTATATATATATATATATATAATGTTAATACTTAAACCTGTGGAGCAGAAATGTACTTGGATTTTCTTTAATTAATTTATTTAGTGGTACTTGGAATTGAACCACTGAGCTATATCCCAGTACTTTTTTTTCTTAAATATTTTATTTTTTAGTTATAGGTGGACACAGTGTCTTTATTTTACTTTATGTGGTGCTAAGAATCGAACCCTGTGTCTCACGAATGCTAGGCATCTGCTCAACCTCCAAGCCACAGTGCTAGCCCCTATATCCCAGTCCTTTTTGTTTGTTTGTTTTTTAATTTTAAGATAGGGTCTCACTAAATTGCTGAGGCTGGCCTCATACTTGCCATCCTCCTGCATCAGTTTCCCAGGTTGCTGGGATTATAGGTGTGTACCACTACACCAGATGTACTTGGAGTTTGTTATGGTACACACATAATTCATAATTAAGTCTCAATAAGGTATCAATCAACAGAGATCATAGTTGTTAAAGTTTACCAATTAAAATATAATGGACAGCAGCTCGGGAGGATGAGGCAGGATGATCATGAGTTCAAACCAGCCTCAACAAAAGTGAGGCACTAAGCAACTCGGTGAGACCCTGTTTCTAAATAAAATACAAGAATAAGGCTGGGATGTGGCTCAGTTGGTTGAGTGCCCCTGAGTTCAATCCCCAGTACCTAAAAAAATAAGTAAATAAACATTTTTTAAAAATAAATATAAATATATAAAATGGACCTGAGTGCTCTGTCGCACGCCTGTAATCTCAGCAGCTTGGGAGGCTGAGACAGAAGGATCACGAGTTCAAAGCCAGCCTCAGCAAAAAGCGAGGCACTAAGCAAGTCGGTGAGACCCTGTCTCTAAATAAAATACAAAATAGGGCTGGGCACGTGGCCCACTGGTTGAATGTCCCTGGGTTCAATCTCAGTACCCCCGCAAAAAAACAAAGGTTATATAATGGAGATAAATATAAAATTTGCCCTTTCACCATGATTCTGTGGTGCAGTTGTGTGGCATAAAGCACACACACCTGGTGAGCGTCCCACCAGCCATCTCCAGGTCTTGGTCCCCATCCTGTGCTGAGACTGTCCCCATGAAGCAATAGCTGCTCACTGAAAGCTCAAATAGAACATAAGATTGTTTTTAAAATTCTGTAACTCATCACGTTCTCTGATTTTAATTGGGTAAATATAAATTCTGCACCCGAAAGGAATGAAATGGAAAAACAAGACTAAACCAGCCTATGATTTCGCAGCATCTAAATTGGGTGGAACGTTCAGGAGAATTACATAAATGGAGAATGTATTTGACAAGTATCATTTTGTAAAAATCAGGGCTAAAGAAAGGTACTCTGAATAGAGGCAAATGACAGTGTTTGGAAATGTCAGAGCTGAGTCATGCTTTTAGTGCGAAGAGAATGGATCTGAAGGTGTCCTTAATTTAACATAATCTGCCCGAGTTTTCCAGGTACTTCCTTCAGTACTTGTAGAGAGAGAAAATTCTCAATTTGAAACGTGGTCCAGAGAAAAGCCAAATGAAAAGGTCAGCTGTTTCAAGTCATTTGACTGTAAAATACAACTTTGGAGGTTGCAGGCAATTTAATTTATTTAAGTATTAAAAATGAAGGGTGGGGGCCTGGGTTTTGTAGCTCAGTGGTAGAGAGTGCTTGCCTAGCATGTGTGAGGCCCTGGGCTTGATTCTCAGCACCACATAAAAATAATAAAATAAAGGTCCATATAACTTAAGAAAAAAAAAAAAAAGGGTGGGGATGTGACGCAGTGGTGACAGCTTGCCTAGCACATGTGAGGTCCTGGGTTCAATCCCCAGCACTGCAAAAAATAATAAAACCATGTGAAAATAGTTTTCAGAAGAGTACCAATAACAGTGGTATTAGTGAGCTAAGTAGACTAGAGAATATAGATATGTGCTTGGCATAATTATTCTGTTGGTTGTATTTACAGTTCAGATACTCAATATAGAGATTATTTATAGGCTGGAGCTGGGGCTCAGTGGTAGAGTGCTCGCCTGCAACATACTAGGTCCTAGGTTCGATCCTCAGCATCACATAAAAATAAATAAATAAATAAAGGTATTGTGTCCAACTACAACTAAAAAAAATAAATAAAGTTTGTAAATAGAATGATTTTATTACTCCCAACATGAAAACAATTGTCAGTCAATAAATATTTCAAGAAATTACATAATCTTATTTTTGTGGTGTCAGTTTTAACACTTGAATGTTCTGGTTTGCCTCACAGATTACATGGTCACTTCATTGCTCATCCTCATTGATGGATGAAGCAAAGGAAAGTCATGAAGCATAAATGTTAGAACCAAACACGGTGAGCTTGATTAAGGAACAAGTGTAATTTGAAAACTCCAGTTTCTTCTCCAGCACAGGTGAAACATTAACAAAAATTAACCGTGTATTGTCCCCTACAGGAAATCTCAACAAACTTCAGAGATTTGAATTCATACAGACCATGATATGTTGTCACAATATAACTATATTAAAATCCATAAAACATCACACTCAAAACCCTTCATAGCCACCTATTTAATTTCAACTTTATTTTGAGGTGCTGAGCATATTACAAACAACCTTACACCAATAAATTGAAAATAATACGCCTAGGTTTTCAATTCTGCAAGTATTTCAACAAAATTGACACAAGTGCATTAAAATAGATTGGAATAGAGCACAGTGGTGCATGTCTGTAATTCCAGTGACTCAGGAGGCTGAGGCAGGAGGATCAAAAGTTCAAGGCCAGCCTGGGAAACTTAGCAAGATCCTGCCTCAAAAAATAAAAAGGTCCATATGCAGCAAAATGAAACTAAGCCCCTGTCTCTCACCATGCATAAAACTCAACTCAAAGTGGATCAAGGACCTGGGAATTACCAGAGACCTGCACCTAAGAGAGGAAAAAGTAGGCCCAAATCTTCATCATGTTGGATTAGGCCCCAACTTCCTTAACAAGATTCCTAAAGCACAGGACATAAAATTAA